ACACTAGGATGACCGGCTAATTTTAAACACAAATCATGGTTATGTAAACCACATATCACATTAAATCTCCACTTTTTTTGCCAACATGTAACCACGAACCTTAAATGGACACTCACATTTTATATTACCCGTGTCGTCTCTTTTAAAATTCCAGAGAGGATTCCGATATTTCCTCCTTCTCTTGCACACCGTTGTCACAAAGGTGCATCTTCTATCTGAACCATTATTGGAACTTCTGATAACCACACCAAATCCAAGTTTAGAGACCTTCATATGAATCCATTCAAGCATTTGATCACGATATTCAAACTCTTTCTTGTGTTTAAAGTTGTTGCCAATATCTACAGTCTTCACAATAACCCTTTGAACATTCAAAGAAACAACTTATTTTGGATAAACATCAGGGTGCATCATATCTATTGAAAACAATAAAAACAATAACACAACGTTAGTTTAAATACTGCTGCAAAATGACTGGAAAAAATGAACACAGACACCTTCCAGAAATGCATCTCCGAACAAGTTCATATACATTCCAAAGATACCTTTCCGGACACAGCGTAAGTTTTTTCCAGAAAAAATTGTCGATTAGTGTGAGCAATATAGAGAGAAAAGAACAATCTTTACCTGAAATTCTATCTTATTTTGCTCCTTGTGATATGTTAAACCAAAAGGATAGAGATTTGGAATGAAAAAATGGATTGAGAATGAAGGGTTTTTATAGTGAGGGTTTAGTTGAGAATGAAGTATGACAACAATGGAAACTACATGTAAAGGTGACAGGAAATTTCAAAATGCCGCCCATAATTCCGAAAATGCATCTCCGGAGTATTTCCTGAACTGAACAATTAAAATGTTTTTCATAAAACGTTCCGAAGATATATCTCCGGAATATCCACTAAACTGAATACTTGAAATGTTTTCCTTAAAACGTTCTGGAGATATATCTACAGAATAAAACTAACCTAATGTATGAAGTGTAACTCAGAATGACCTTGGTTGAGTATGAAAAAGGTGCATTCGGAGATATATCTTCGTAACCTAGGGGCACATGTGAAAATTCACATGGTGCTTTAGAAGTATATAGGGTGTAATAAGAAATTCTCTTTTAAAAAGGCTTCTTTACATTTCTCATCAACAAAATTGAAATTATGTTTAGGAAAAGGTTTCTAAATGTTATCTTGCAAAACTAATTTAGTTAGTTTATTTAGTTAGTTCTTTATTATCAATGTGGCTTGGCTTATGCACTAGAAATTTGGGTCTTGAATGCGTGGAAATTGGATTTATGGGGAGTTAGTGTCTTTATTAAATGTTATGACTCAGCTTATTAAGGAATGGAACAAGGACATATTTGGGGATATATAATAGTGTGCACTATGGCCATAGTAGATACCTTGAGACTTTAGAGGGAGACCTTCAAGAACAATTAGTTCAAAGTCTTTATCAGTAGGCGTGTCTCTTATTTCAAAAGTCAAGAGGTAAGTGGACTACTGACTGAGATAAGAACACTAAGTATTACCATTCGAAGATCATTGCTTGTAGATGGAGAAATACAATCATGGCTCTTAGATATGAGAATAGAGATTGGGAATGTGACGAGGAGAAGATGAAAGAGATAACGATGAGAAATTTTTCTGAGCTTTTGAAGGAAAACCAAGAGAGAAGGGATTCCATAGTTATCTTTTCTATATTATCTTACTTATTTGGATAATCATCATATAAACTTGCATGTTGTCTCGTTCGTTCTAGAGATCAATAAGGCTCTTTTTGATATAAGTCCTCATAAAGCCCCAAGTGAAGATGGTTTTTTGACTCCTTTTTTTCCACCAACATTGTTGGGATATAACAGGGTCATCCTTACATAATTTTGTGAGTTGGGTTTGGAGTGATACGTCTTTTATTGGTTCGGCTAACAATACTCTTCTTGTGCTGATTTCAAAGATCGACCAACCAGAATTTCTCACGCAATTCCGTCATACTTCCTTTTGCAATGTGATATATAAGCTTGTGTCTAAAATTGTAGTGAATCGTGTGAAGCTGCTGCTAAATAATATCATTTTCTTGAATCACTCTAGTTTCATTCCATGGAGGAATATTTATCATAATATTATTATAGCCCATGAGATAGTCCATGCAATAAAAAGGATGAAAACTCAAAACGTTATTCACGTTAATTAAGATTGATCTAGAAAAAACCTATGATAGATTTAGTTGAAAATTTGTCACTCAGTGTCTTCAAGATTACAAGTTTCTCGAAGAATTAATTAATTTAATTTAGCATTGTATTTCCTCTTCATCTTTCAAAATTTTATTGAATAGGGACAAGTTTGACATCTTTTTTCCCCATCCAGAGGTATTTGTTAAGGTGATCTCATGTCTCTGCTTATCCTTTTGTTATTTGTATGGATCGTGTGTTGCATATTATTACCGACCAAGTTGATGCAGTATATTGGAAGCCTATGTATGCAGACTGAAATGGACCTCAAGTTTCTCACCTCCTATTTACATATGACCTCTTTCTTTTTGCATAAGTAACTAAAGAGAAGGCTTACGATATCAAGCATTGTTTTGATCAATTTTTTCAAGTCATGGACCAAAATATGAATATTGAGAAGACTCAAATTTAATTTTTAACAAAGACAAATTCCCAACTTTTATAGAAGATTATGCAACATGCATGTTTCATAGAAGCCCAGAGCCTAAAAAAGTATCTTGAGGCAAATATTATCCATGATAGAAACTATAGTAATAGGTTTTGGCATATTACTAAGCATATTTAACATCAGTTGAGTGGCTAGAAGTATAAGTGTTTGAGCTTGGCTGGAAGAATTATGATTAGTCAATCAGTGTTAAGTTATATCAATTAATTTCAATGCAGTATGCTAAAATACTCACCATCATTTGTCATGATTTGGAATAGTTACAAAAAGGTTTATTTGGGAAAACATAGAAACGACTCGCGTGACTTGATCAATTAGGAGGTTTGTTGCATGCCTAAGGATCAAGCATCAAACAAACTCAATCAATGAATGATGTTTTTTTGTTTAAAATTCTTTGAAATTTATTAAATAATCCTAACGATTTATGGTGCTACGTTGTCATCAATAAGTATGGCAGGAAACACAATCTTGTGAAAAATATGATTAACAAGCCGAATGATTCTTCTTTATGGAAAGTGTTGGCCAAGGTGTGGGACAAATTTGAGAAAAATATTTTGTGGAAGCTTGGGGACGATAGTAAGGTTAATTTTTAGTTAGATCGTTGGACTTCGGTAGAGCAACCTTTCTTCTTCAAGTTGGTTCAACCTGATACAATTATAGATATCTCTTTCACGCATAAAGACGTGATTAATGTAGAAAGGAAGTGAAATTTATAGTTGATTCAGAACTGGTCCAATGTCTTGTAGGGATTGGTTACAATCATAAAGAAAATGATAATGGATTCACACAATGATCATTGGAGGTCAATATTTATGATCTCATGTTGATATTTATGAAAGTGAAGGAAGAAAACACTTTTTGAAGAAGACTTTCAGGAACCTAACAACCCGACTAGACCAATCATGCAACTAGTAAAGGAGATTGAGATAAGTGGTCGTGTGAAGGAAAATGTTGTTATCACAATTAGATATCAAGCATGTTCATTAGTATCGTTCAAAGGACAATTGGATCAAACTCAATTATGATGGTGCTTGAAAGAAGTTTACTTCCACAACAAAATGCAAAATGCAGATGCTTGTTTAAAGACTCCTCCAATAATTAATAATTAAGTGAAAGGATATGCACAAAAAATTAGTTTATGTGATTAGTTTATGTGATGCTCTTATTGTAGAGATATGGGTGATGTTACATTAAATTGAACTAGCTGGCATGAGAGAATTATAAATCTAGTGGTTAAAGCTGACTCTAAAATCTTAATATATATGATTAACCAAGAGACTGAGGACGAACATAACTTTTCAATTTTAGTTCGCAAAATTAGAAGGATCGCCCAAAGAAATTGATGGTGTTTAACTATATTTAATAAGAAAATCGTGGTGATGATTGAATAGTCAATTATAATCTTACTTAGAACAATAATAAACTCCTTATTCTTCTAAATCTCATGTCAAATAAATTGGATATCATTTTAGCCGATGATAAGTCTCCCTCCCTGGACATGTTAGAGTCTCATTCATTAGTCTTTTCTTTTTTTGGACTCTCTTTTCTATACACACAAAATAGCTCCATTTAAATGTGATATAAATAAAGCCTTTAGAAAAGGCCTATCTTCTAAAGTCTAATACTATCGATGTTTGAAAACAAAACTATGTTTATCAAATGCTAAAATAGATAGTTTGAAGAGGACTCGCTCCATAGAAACGGTCTTTTGTCAATCTGAGAATATAAAAATAATATTTAATTTTAGGTAAATTTTATATCTCCCAAATTTCAAAAAATTCAGCTTTACTATTTACAATAAAACTTTAAGTATGTTTTTTTGAGTAAATAAATAAAATACTAATTATCAAATGAAACCCATTTAACCAATTAAATTTTACAAAACCAAGTTTATTCGAAATAACGTGTATAACAATCCCCAAATATTGCCCCCGACAGATATCTGTCCAATATTATGAAAACAATCAGTCATAAAATTCACACTGAGCACAAGTCGTCTAAAAAAGTATGAATATTGTACTTTCTATGGTATCTTACAAAAAAAACAAAATCTTCAACCGTTGCTAAATATTAAAAGGTATATATGACCGAGAAGACAAAGGTATAAATCAGAACCTGATGTCGCATAGAATTAGTATCTCCATTCCAGTTGAAGGCTCAAAAGTATTAAACATCCATGAAACAAATTCCTACTACAATTGTAGCCACCAAATATGTCCTAAATCATAATACATGAACACAAATTCAAGTTGTTTCGGAAGGACTTGGAAATAAAAGCTAGATAATATTCACCCCCTGCATCCAAAAATACCGATCCAATAGACTCCCCCCAACAGAGCATTATGCCTGAAATGACGAGAAAATCAGGAAGAAAATAAGCAACCTAGTTCCAATAGTTCCAAAATGTGTACGACTTTTCAAGGACCAAAAACATATTCATGTCTTAAAACAATAAAATTTGCACAATAAAGGAAGAAATTAATAGCTACCTTATTGGCTATATTGTTGGAAAGCCAGTCCAAACCTTCATAAAGACCCTCCCCAGAGGTTGCACAAGTGCTCTGAATGTACCTGGAAGACCCGGAAGAGTGTTTTAGATCACAACGGGATAGCTATTAGTACAGAATATGATGTGCTTCATTAACAAAAATATTTACCAGTGGCGCTGTCTGAGAGAGTGGAGACCCAGCTTGTCAGTAATCTCAGCAGCATTCATTGCATTGGGAAGATCTTGTTTGTTGGCAAACACAAGCAATACTGCATCTCTCAGTTCATCCTGAAATAATCATTGAAATAAAGGATTCAAAACATTGCCATTTAGTTACAAGACCACATAAAACACACAAGCAAGAAACAAGGACTCAGGGAGACTAATGATTCTTGTCATGAATGTTTCATACATTGAAGTTAACAGATAAGTGAACTCAATCAGAAGCATTATAAGATATTGATTAGGAAGAATTGGTTACTCAACTTCCAAAAGACATCTCAGTCACACCAATATACAACAGCGGTCATCAGAAATTATGATCCAGCAAAAACACATGAATTAACAGCAACAATGATGAAGAGAAGGGTGTTTCATGAGAAGTTCAAAAGAAATATGTTTTCATCAATGGAAAGACAACCAATGAGCATGTGAAAATTATGATCTAGACTAATGTATCTCTAGCAAAGTCATCCGTAACCATGATTGTCGAGATCTCACTCTAACTCTCGAAATCGTATCTTGCGCTTGAGCAACCGGCCATCGATTTAAGTGGCACAAAGATCGTGGATTAGGTTGAAGCATTGAACTCCTAGAGAAAGATCTTTAAATCGTGGGATCTTGGATCCCAACGATCTATTCTTTGTTTTTGCCAACTTCATACCCGTTCCGATCATATCATTAAACAATTGGATTTGGCCCATAATTATCCCTGATGGCAGTGCACATATTTTAGGGTTTTGGGATTTGCAATGTTTCAAATGGGCTTTTGAGAATTGCAAAATAAGGATTGTCCGCAAACAATAGCCATTGGAACTTTGAGAATTCTGTATTGATTAATCATACAGTGAATGAATTTCTTCCCTTCGTCTACCTTTTCTATAAATTCACACTCTGTTATGTTTTTTGGATAAAATATTTGTTATTGATGATTAAATTAATGAGAATTTTAAGTTAGAAGTTATTTTTCCTAGTTATTTCTATAAGTCTGTGTTAGGATTTTACGATCTGTGTTACGATCCTAGAATTTAAGCTTTTTGTATACCCTAACAATCTTTATCGAGATCCCGATTATGACAACCATGGCCATAATAGATGCGGAAAATGTATTGTGCTTAAAGCAACCCCATAATCAGCTTCATTGGTAAATACGATCCTTAGATCTTTCTATCACAACTAATGTGTGGGTTCCTTCCGTCCTTTTGGCCACTACATGGTCTACACGAATGAAGATATCTAACATGAAAAATAAATGAAGATGAAAACATTGCATAATATGCCAAACTAAACAGACCAAGTACCTCATTCAACATTCTATGTAGCTCATCTCTGGCCTCAACAACCCTGTCCCTGTCATTGCTGTCAACAACAAATATAAGACCCTGAGTATTCTGGAAGTAGTGCCTCCACAAGGGACGAATCTGTAGAAGAAAACTTAAGTATTTAGCCACTTGCTAGCAAAACACTTTGCAAACCAAAGTTCATTTGTATGGCAGTGAACAACAGTGGGGGGATATACTAAACAAACATCTTGTAAAGTGCACTTTTTAGAAGGAATAAGAATAAAAATATACACCTTGTCCTGGCCTCCGACATCCCAAACAGTGAAGCTAATGTTCTTGTATTCCACAGTCTCAACATTGAACCCTAAATAAAAATAAATTTACATTTTAATGAATATAGCATCGCAGCATTTTAGCAATCTGATTAACATTTTACCAAACACTCAAATGCTGAAATAATTTTTCAACGATTATGAGTAATACAAACAGAGCTTCCCATTACATTTAAAACAACTTCAGCACCTTAACTTTTTCAGAAGCTCTTACATGTAAGAGTAATTCTTCCATAAATAACAATGAACTTGTCAAAAAAACTGCTATAGAAACCAAATGAATATTTCAATTGAGAAGCTCTCATAAAACCTAATCAATTGATTAAGACATAAAGATACAAGGGAGAAAATCAAAAGTGAATACATTCTATATGCAAATCAGCATTCCTATAGGTAAAGAACAAATCTGATTTATTCATTTAGATAAGAACACACAAGAAGAGCCGAGAAACTTACCAATGGTAGGGATAGTAGTGACGATCTCTCCAAGCTTGAGCTTGTAGAGGATAGTGGTCTTACCAGCAGCATCGAGACCCACCATCAAAATTCTCATTTCCTTCTTCGCAAATAACCGACTGAAAAGCTTCGTGAATGTTAACCCCATTTTTCCTTCGCTAACTTGATCCTCCCTAATTTCATTGTACAATCCAAATTTCAATAAGAAAATAACAATTTTCCAAAAAAAAAAAAAAATCTAATCAAATCCGTCACAATTTCTTTTCACAAATCGATCAAAACAATGGCATCAATGTCACCAGATTCAATCAGATCTCAAGCTTAACGAAACGGATCGCACAAAAAACGTTGCTACAAAAAATAAACAAAATTTCGATAAAAAGAGGAGAATGATCTGATCGAGAAAAAAACCAGAAGATCTGAAAAGCTTGATTAGAAAACGCTAGATCGAGCAAATAGAAACGGAAGCACTGTGATTCGCGTGAAATTGAATTGCAATTGGAGATTAATCAATTTGCATGAAGAGATTGGATCTGAGGGTTGAATTTACCTTTGAAGAAGAAAAGTTGATGTCGCAGAGAAACGGAGAGAGATATGTGGAGAGAGGTGAAGGGTGCTTTGCAGCAACGCGGAATGGGAAGCGAGATGGGTATGAGAATTGATTTTATTACGACAAAATGTACCACAATTGGTTCTTTTTATTTGCTTAAAATAACTAAATGATAAAATATCTTTTAAAATTAATTTATAAGTGGATTCTTCTTCTTGTAAAGCCAAAGTTTCATTGTGTAAACATTTGTTTCCCTTAAATATATCATGATTTGTCTTTTTAAGAAACTTAAATGTAATTTTAGTTTTATTTTTTTTAAAATTAAGTTTTAATTATTTTGCTCCGTAGTAAAACTAGAGTTGATAGAAAAGAATGAGTGAATTTCCAATTTATTAGTGGTTCATGGAATGGATGTGGTAGAGAGGAGGTTAATGTGTAAGAAAGAGAGTGAAAATTGAAGTATGAATGGAAAAGGATTCGAATATATGTGAAGTGGCAGTTTTCTTCTTTAAATAAGGGAGATGAATGATAATTTCATGCTTATGAAACGGCGTGGGATGCAGTCACCTGTTGGATTGATCTAGGCGATTAGTATGACATTCTCTAAAGAGATATTTTGCAGCACAGTAGAAAAAGGGTATTCATGTCTCGTGTTTATAACTTGTTAATTCGTAATTGGACCTTCGTCTCTCAGATCTTACGGAAAGCCTAAAACAGTTGCCATCAAGCCTTGTATTTGATTTGTGGGGCGAGGATTTGTGACACGTACTATTACTCGGCCACGAGATCCATGAACATGAAATTCATATTGTAAGTGTTGTCGTTTTCGGGAATGATAAGTTGTAATGTAACGTCGGGAGTAAATGAGATCTATTTCAGTCTCGGATGGTGAACCATCAAAATTTTATATCTTCAACTATTTTAATTTGATTATGTTTCGTGTTACAACAATTCAGTGAAACAAAAGACAAACTATGACAATACAATCTATATGTTTCCTTCTTCTTGGTTGAATCTGTCTGCAATTAGCTACCAACACTATTACCCTTAATCTTCACAAAGATATTAATCTTCAACCTTTAATAGACTTTAACCTTTATATGTTTGCTGATCTTCACTCAATCTCAAAATTATAAGGCTTAAGTCCTTTTCTTCAACAGGTTGACAAATTCACAGAAAAACTCCATAACAACTGAGAAAATCTCATTCACCTTTTTCTTCAAAGAACTTTACTTCTTTGAATATCTTCAAGATCAATTTATTCTTGAAAGCTACACACTTCAAATTTTGGGGATTGTTGAGTTTTTGTATCCCAATTTAGTGACTTCAAACCCCTTTCTCGATTCATCTTTGTCAATCAAAAAATGTTAATCCATTGGTGTAGATATTGATTTTACGTTATGCATTTTATACTTCTTTAAGATTTTCAAGCAATATTTTGTTTGAATGATAAAAGTTCCCTTATCAGTTTGCTTTATTTGGATTTATAATAAACATGTAAGTTCACCCATCAATGACTATTCAAATTCACTCAACATAGTGTTAGAAAATGCCACACATAGAGATTCATTAGTAGATCCAACAATAATGATCAATACATATATCTGAACCAATAAAACATGCTTTACTTTATATTTTATAAATAAAGTCGTCTCTACAACTCTACGACTAAATCCTTTCCCTAGTAGGAAACCACTAAGACGTTCATACCAAGCTCTAGGAGCTTGCTTTAGGCCATAAAAGGGTTCTCTTAAGTTTAAAAACATGGTTGGAACTGTCATGATCCTCAAATCCCAGAGGTTGAGAAACATATACCCCTTTCATTTATAAACTCATCCAAGAAAGCAGACTTAATGTCCATCTAATATAGCTTGAAACTAAAGCAACAAGCAAATGCCAAAAGGAGCCTAATAGCCTCAAGACAGACTACAAGAGCGTAAGTTTCATCGTAATCTATCTCTTCGGTTGGATTATACCTTTTTGCCACTGGCCTAGCCTTATTTCTAGTAATTATTTTGTTCTTATCTAGTTTGTTCTAAAAGATGCACTTAGTGTCTATGACTATTTTGTTTTTAGAACGTTGGGCTAAATATCATACGTCATTCCTTTTAAATTGGTTGAGTTCTTAATGCATAACCAGAATCCAACCCTCATCAATCAAAGCATCACTAATAATTTTTGGGTTAACTTGTGAGATGAAAGACGAGTAATTACATGAATTATGTAATTGTAAATGTGTACTTACTCCCTTTTTTATATCTCCCAACATGTTATCCAACAGATGGTCCTTGTGGTGATCTAATCTTGAGGAAGTTGATTTGAGGTCTATTTTTTATTATCTTCTTATTTGCTTTCTTTTTCATCATCTTTAATGTCCTCATTTTTTGGAAGATCTACTTTTGCAACGTCATCGTTGACTTTATCTTCCGTGTTAGCACCTTTGTTATTGTCTTCATATGTAACAAAGTCCCGCTATTGTTTGACAAAGTCAATGAATAACAATGTGTTTCTTGTCATATGCCTTGAAAAACTACTATTTAAGAACCACGTCATGTTTGCAACTATAAGGTATTCCTACAAGATAATCAACATTGAAATTTAGGTCCCCTAACTAGTGTTGGGTCCTTGTGGGTTAAAGCTAGGATTCTTAGGTTTCCATGCCATGAGACTGTTTAGAATTTTTACATTCCGAATGTGCCATTTTGGCCTAAAGTCAAAGAAGAAAATATTCATCATTTATTTTAGTTTAGTTTTAATGAAGACAAAAGCTTATCAAAGAAGAAAAAGTTTAAAGGAAAAGTTTAAGTGATCATAAGCTTTGGAAATCAAAGGAAAGATTTGAGATAATTGATCATGATTAAAGTATGCATTACAATTCATAATATATCCCTTAGTATGCTCAAGAAAATCATATCAATCTTCATTAATAAAAGCCATGAACATCATGCATGAAAACCATTGAAACTAAGCCATCAAAAGATGATTCATGCACTTTTTAAATCAGGTAATCTATTAAACCTTTGAATAATACCATGTTTTGTTAAATTTACTTGAGTTTGACGTATGAGGACCGTCGTTATCGATGGGTCTCCGTAGAAAATTTAGGTGGGAAATTATTGATCGCATGTTAGTTTTGGTCTATGTTTCTAATTTTCATGTTTTATTATTTCGACACGAGAGTGAGAAATATACTAAGTTCAGACCGATAGCGCGAGAGTATGAGGAATAAACTGATATTGGAAACTAGACATCGATCCTAAAAACAGCGAGAGCGCTTTAGACATTGTTTAGAATTTCATTAACTTCCAAAATACGCTTTTTAATTAAAACGAGCGAGCGGGAGCAAAATCCTGTGGTTGAAAGGTGTGGTTTTTGTTAATAGCTCGGGAGCGTGAGACGAAATCTTTAAGTTAGTATTTTCTACGAAACTGCATTCAGTCGTAATTAGCACCCCACTTCTACAAGTCCTTTAGGTACGCGGAATCCATATTCCGGACTCGTTTTTATTTTTATTTCCAAAAACCTCTAGAATTAGTAATTCTTTCTTCCCGTCTTAAATCTGTAAATCTTTAGCCTTAGCTTTGCACTGCAATATTAGATTGCTTTAGTTTGATTATTGCTTCCCTGTGGGTTCGACAATCTTTTTAAAACTACACGAACAGTTGTATACTTGCAGTTATTATCCGACAGATACGTTAGTGTTGTGCTAGAGAAGTCGTTCATATTTTTCCAGCAAATGGCATCTTTCTAGAGAAGTTTGTTGTGAATCCTTATTTTCTATCAAATGGCATCTCTCAAGACAAGTCCTACAGAGAAGTTTGATTATTGAATCTTTGTTTTTTACATCATATGGCATCTCTCCAAAGAAGTCTCGAAGAGAAGTATGATAAAGAAACGGTTATCTCTCTAGAAGATTCCGACAGAATAACTTATTGAAGATTATCGCACGTGTTTATTTGAGATAAATTTCTACAAGTGGTTTTATCAGTTCAATGCAAAGAAAAATTGCAGCCAATGGTGTTCCCCAGTAAGTCTGCTACCAATTTTCTCTCATTCTATGGCATCTCTCCAAAGAAGTCTCGAAGGAAAGTATGATGAATATATTTTTTCCATCAAATGGCATCTCCCCAGTGAATCCCAATGGGAGGTTTGATGAAGACTCTTACAGATTATTGCCGCTTTATTTGAGAAATCTGTTTTGCAAATTAACCGGCCTGCGTCTCTTTAAACATCCCCAGTGAAATTATTATTTCATCAAGTAATTACCCTTTTAGGAACTTATATGTTTTACCCCTTTTCAAGTGAAAGACTTGATAAAGAAGAAATCGAGACCAGTTTCGTGGCTTATGTCCATAAACGAGGGGAACTTTACTTCAGAAACTGATATCAGTTTCGTGGCTTATGTCCAGAAACTGTAACACCCGTTTTATTTCGATTAAATTTAGTTATGACTTTACCGTGTTTCTTCGCATTGTATTCGTATTTGAAAATGTGTTTGTTTCGAATAAAGGAATTGAATCGGCCAAATTTCGGGCAAAAGTGCAGAATCCCGTAGCAGTTTTAGGGAAAACTTCGAAAAATCATATCTCTCGATCCGT